TTTCTTCTTCGTAAGGGAAATATCTATTTGGTGGCTTCTCTCGGTTTTATCTAAAAGGCAGAACATAACGCATAGGAATATCTAAGACATTAGCATATGGAGAAGTGGTGCAAAATTTTACCTCGGGAGTATTCTCAATAGGAGAGTCTTCGGGAATTGAGGTGAGAGAGAGAGTTCTATATTTACAAGCTTTCCATTTTCAGGTTCTTCATTGTCGGATTCTCTATTTTCAAGTTCTGTATCTCCCACTTCTATCATGATCAAATGCCGTTGTGATGGGATTCCTCCAATTTCAGTCTCAAATTATATGTTTTCAAGCTCAATTCTTACTTCCATCTCACCTCCTGGAGCCATCAACCAGTCCAACTATTCATCCTTAGGCTCCCCCTGAAGAGCAGAGTTTGGTACCATGTGGGAAACAATGGATTAGACTCAAGAAATGTGACATCCATGGTGATGTAGGTTCGATTAGTAGTGGGATCATAGTACCTATAACCTTTTTATGTGATCCATATCCCCAAAACAAGCAACAAACAGCACATGTATCCAATTTAGTACATTGGTGCTTATGGTGATGGACAAAAGCAATACACCCAAAGACCCAAGGAGGAAGTGTTAGCACGGTAGGCAAAGAAGCATGAGTAGAGTGAACATGCAGTAGAGTCTTAAAATTTAAGGCTTTGGAAGGCATTCGATTGATCAAATACACGTTAGTGGCTACCACATCATCCCAATGACGACTACGTACATGTGTGCCAAGGAATAGAGCACGCGCAGTCTCCAAAATGTGTCGATTTTTCCTCTCAACGATGTCATTTTGTTGTGGGGCTTGGGAGCATGATGTTTCGTGGAGAATACCATGATGTTGGAAATAGGTCTAAAATCGATGACTAATAAACTCCCCACCATTATCTGACCAAAGATTTGAATCTTGGCTAAAAATTGTGTCTGAATCATGGCGTGGAATGCTTGAAAAATCCAAAAAACCCTCATCTTTTGGTCCTCCTCTGATAGAGCTACGTCATTCGAGTACAGCCATCGATAAAAATTACAACACTTTTGAATGTATAGCTATTAAGGAGGGCATCCATACTTTCGAATGTATTAAGGCAAAAAGAACAATACTTTTATTCAAACTTGTTGGATAATAAAATTCTATGGCTCTTTGCCATAAGACATATCACATTTCAAGTCATCATTTTGTAAATGTAAAAATAAATTTGAAAGCAAGTGTTGTAGATAACCAAATTATGGATGCCCCAAGCGATGATGCCACAGCCAAATCTGTCTTTCTTTACTACTGACCTGATGGTTCACATGATTTATCATTCCCGAGTTGAAGTCATCCAAGTGATACAATCCCCCATCTTAGTACCACGCCCAATGATCACCTTGCTGAAAATATTGTGGAGAAGATAAAATGTAGCATATATGAATACTACACAATTGAGTTCAGCAGTAATTTGACTCATCGACATTAACTTATTTGATAGAGATGGGACAAGTTGAGTGTGAGATAAGGAGAGAAAGGGTGATAAGGGCAGAG